TCTGCTTTCATTCCATATTTCTGACCACATGCTCTCCACTCTCCTCTGAAGTGTGCCAGACTCTCTCTGATTATATCTCTCTCTCTGGGGAGGCGTTGTAGCAAGCCGCTGTGTATTATGGACGTGTGTGTGTGTGTGTGTGTGTGTGCGTGTGTGTGTGTGTGTGTGTGTGTGTGTGTGTGTGTGTGTGTGTGTGTGTGTGTGTGTGTGTGTGTGTGTGTGTGTGTGTGTGTGTGTGTGTGTGTGTGTGTGTGTGTGTGTGTGTGTGTGTGTGTGTGTGTGTGTGTGTGTGTGTGTGTGTGTGTGTGTGTGTGTGGTGTGTGTGTGTGTCATTAGCCCCAGTTTGTTTGGTGAATAGCAGCTGCAGGTCCCACTGGTGTTTTGTAGCCGGGCTTTGTGCAGCAGAGGAGGCGTCAGTGTGAGCGTCGTGTTGTCGTTTGTTTGAGTGATTTCACTACAAAGAGGCCAAATCCTTTCCTATTGGTGGGAAAAAATGTGTGTTAAAATACCCAACATTTTTTTAAACTCACACAAATATTTTGCAAATATAAAACGGATCTACAGATACACAAACAGATTCCACAAATAAGAAGAACATCTGAGAATACTATCATTAATTTACAAATAAACACAGGTAAATGTGTGAATATCTTTCCCTTTCCACTTTCCATGAGGCATTTGTGAATCCAGTTTGTTTTGTGGATCTCAAATCTGTGTTTGTGAATCGGCTTTTTACACACACCGTTTTTTGAGACAATCTTTGAATGAAAATCTACGCTTTTCACTCTGCCTTTGTCGGGTAATTCAACCAGTTGTTGACTTGTTGTGTTCTTGTAGTTGTGATGTCTGGATGTGCTGCTTTCTGTTTTCTGTTCTTTGGGAAACGTTTCCTTAATTTGCCTTTTGAATCAGCTGGTGAGCCTTTATTCTGAAGTTACTAAACAACATATTTCGGTTTTACAATCCAGTTTTCACTCAGTTTGAGTTATTTCCCTTATATCCTAGAGTTTTGGGGAACGTAATAAATGGGGTACTTCCCAGGATGAGAAACAAGAAAGAAATTGTATTTGTTGTCTTTTAAACGTTGAGATTGTCTGCACATACAGTAACAAACACATTTTATATTATATCTTATGTGCAAATGATCAGAAAACTAAATATATTGATAGATTAGAAGAAGAACCATTTTCCCTTTTGTTTTCATCTTTATTCAAATGACTGATGATTGATAAGAAATGATGTCAATGTTCTTTGATCGTTGACGTCATATGCAAATATCTATATATAATGTGTGTGTGTGTGTGTGTGTGTGTGTGTGGTGTGTGTGTGTGTGTGTGTGTGTGTGTGTGTGTGTGTGTGTGTGTGTGTGTGTGTGTGTGTGTGTGTGTGTGTGTGTGTGTGTGTGTGTGTGTGTGTGTGTGTGTGTGTGTGTGTGTGTGTGTGTGTGTGTGTGTGTGTGTGTGTGTGTGTGTGTTTCATGTGATGAGATTAGATTAGAGTGACTCACGCTGTCCGGACCTCAGTGAGTGTGTCATCACTTCACAGCGCTGACACACTTCCTCCATCATGACACACTTTTCATTTTTACTAATTGGAATAATTAGTGGAGAATGCATTAGCATACAAGTGTATTAGTGTGTGTGTGTGTGTGTGTGTGTGTGTGTGTGTGTGTGTGTGTGTGTGTGTGTGTGTGTGTGTGTGTGTGTGTGTGTGTGTGTGTGTGTGTGTGTGTGTGTGTGTGTGTGTGTGTGTGTGTGTGTGTGTGTGTGTGTGTGTGTGTGTGTGTGTGTGTGTGTGTGTGTGTGTTCAGTAATTTGACCTACTTAAGTGATTCCATAAACATAAAAAGGGGAAAAGGGGAGTCTTATGTCAAAATAATAAAGTTTAATTATATAGTTATTTATGTATAAGGCTGCCACTTATTTTCTTGATTAATTTAATCATAGTATTCTACCTTAGGATTCGTCTGCTCTAGGGTTTCCAGTTTCCACATTGTCTTATTTTGTGTTACCTCTGTTTAGAGCTTAATTGCTTTTACTTGCATAGCGTCACCCGTTTTATCAACCTTTACTTGCCTAAAGAACTGTTTTAAGCGTTTCATTAACTGTTAATACACTTTATCAGAGATTTGCTTGTTAGATATAGCAACGTCAATGTAAACTAGTTGAATATATAGTTAGTTAGCTTCTTAAATTGTTAACTAACATTAATTAGTTTGCTTGTTAGTTATGTAGCTAACGTAAGCTTGCTAACTAGTTGAATATACATCTAGTTTGCTTGTTAAATAGTAAGCTAACATTCAAGAGTTTGCTTGTCAGTTATGTAGCTAACGTACCCTTGCTAACTAGTTGGATATAAAGCTAGTTAGCTAACATTCAGTAGTTTGCTTGTTAGTTATGTAGCTAACGTACGCTTGCTAACTAGTTGGATATAAAGCTAGTTAGCTTGTTAAATAGTAAGCTAACATTCAGTAGTTTGCTTCTTAGTTACAGTATGTAGCTAATATTGCTTGCTAACTAGTTGGATATATAGCTAGTGAGCTTGTTAAATAGTTAGCTAACATTCAGTAGTTTGCTTGTTAGTTATGTAGCTAATGTAAGCTTGCTAATTAGTTGGATATATAGCTAGTTAGCTTGTTAAATAGTTAGCTAACGTTCACTAGTTCGCTAGATAGCTAGTTTGATAGATGGATATCTAACGTCTGGTAGCCAGTATGTTAGCTAGTTAGCTTATAAGATAGATAGCTAACATTAGCTTGCTAAGTAGCACACTGACCGG